GATATCCAGTTTATTCCTTTGTGGTCTGATAAAATACAGGAAATTATTCCAACTTTCTTGTATTTGTTAAGGCTTGCTTTATGACACAAAATCTGATTTATTTTGGAGGATGAGGGAGTGGCTCAAATTGTAGAGCCCCTGCCTAGCAAGCATGAGGCCCTGAGTTCAAACCCCAGTACCACCAAACAAAGAGAATGGACTGACAAATGAAACTACGTGAAAATAAAAAGCTGCTCTACAGCAAAGGAAACAGTCACCAGATTGAAGAGGCAGCCCACAAAATGGAAGAAAATCTTTGCCAGGTATACATCTGACAAGGGGTTAATAATCAGAGTTTACAGGGAGCTCAAAAAACTAAACTCCCAAAGAATCAATGACTCAATGAAGAAACAGGTAAATGAATTGAACAGAAATTTTTCAAAGGAAGATGTACAAATGACCAAAAACACATGAAGAAATGGCCAACATACATGATTTTGGAATGTCTTTTTCCATCTTTTCTCTTTAAGACTATGTTTTTTCTTTGATAGTCAGGTGTATTTATTAGAGGCAACAAATGGTTAGGTCTTGTTTTCTAATTCAGTCCATCAAACTGTCTTGATTGGAGAATTGAGACCATTAACATTCAGAGCTGTAACTGAAAGATATGTAGTAATTCATGCCATTTTGTTGTATTTATAATGTTTGAGTCTTTTAAAATCCTTATTTACTTATTTACTTGCCTTTATTCTTTCACATATCCTTATGGCTGTGTTTATCTTCATTTTTTATGTGTAGGTTTCCTTTAAGTATCTACTGTGCTTCTGGTTTAGTGCTTATGAATTGCTTTAGCAATTGTTTATCAAGGAAGGCTTTTATTTCTCCTTTAATTATGAAGGATAGCTTTGTTGTGTACAATAATCTAGATTGGCAGTTATTTTCTTTCTGAGCTTCAAACACATTTATTCTATGTACTCCTTGCTTTTAGAGTTTTCAGAAATCTGTTAAAGGGTTTGCCTTTATAGGTACTTCTCTGTCATCTTTAAATATTCTTGTTCTGTATGCCTAATCTTTTAACAATAATATGACATGGAGAGTTTCTTCTTTGTCTTGTCTGTTTGATGTCCTAAAGGCTTTCTGTACCTGGTTGATTGTTTCTTTTCAAGATTTTGGACATTTTTGCTATTATTTGTATTGAATATGTTTTCATCCATTTTTCTTGCACTTCTTCTCCTTTTTCTGTATCCAAGGTTCATAAGTTTGGTGTTTTAATGGCATTCCAGAAGTCTTGTATGTTCCATTCATACTTTCTTGTTTTTTTCTTTTTGTTTTCTGAATGTTCTAAAAAGCCTTGATACTCTGACTTCTGTTTGGTCTAGTCTATTGGTGAGGCTTTCAATGGAGGTCTTTTGGGGTTTGTTTTGTTTTGTTTTGTTTTGTTTTTTGTACTTAGGATTGCACCGGGGCAATTCTCTGAAAGGGAGGAGACTGGTAAACTCACATGGTCCAGGGATCTGGGTTCAGAATTCAGTCCTGCCTGTAATAACCCCATGTAGCTGGGAGGCAGAGACTCAAGCAGCTACAGGCTTGCAGCTGTTTCCACAATGATCCATGGCATTGAGGTTCACTCTTCACCAGAAAGTGCAGGGTCACCAACCACCATGCCCTTCACTGCTCAAGTTTAAAATCTAAGTGGTCCCATATCAGACTGTCCCCCTCTTCACAACTTGTTTCATAACTGTCTCTCACAAAGACACTATGGCAGACTGTCCCCAGGCTCCCTGAGCTACAGTTGTTCTTTGTTTTCAGGTCCCCAGAGTAGCTCAGTCTCAAACAATAGCCCTCCCCCCTCAAGATGCCACCTGGCTATAGCACTCTAAGGGTGTGGGGGAGGGCGGCAAAATGTCTTTCTTCTTTACTGCTAACTGCCATGAAGGAGTATTCACTTTCACACCCAATCCCCACACTGAGTTTAAGGTATGTGGAAAGTGGTGGGCTTATTCCACAGCTAGGTCTGTTAGTCTTTTTCCAGGGCCATCTGACTTACCTTGATGTGGCTTTGGCCTTCCTTCCCCACTGGGAACCCCATTTAGAGTTGCATGTTGTTTCCTAGTTATCTCTATTGACTTTCTGTTTTTTTGATAATTGTGTCCCTCTTTCATGATTTTTGATGGTATTCCTCTCTTTCTCTCTTCAGAATGTAGTATTGCCTTTGTTGCCCTAACCTTTGAATTCATAGAGTCATATGGATAAATTTCGTACTCCCCTGTGTTGCCTTGCCTGTCCCCCACATCTCAAATTTTAGTGGTGTGAATCCTTCTTGACATTTGTTAAACATGCAGATGCCAGAAGAATATGTAGAGACCAAGAAACCTTTTTTTTTTTCTTGTGGAACTGGTGTTTGAATTCAGGGCCTCACACTTGGTAGGCATGCACTCCACAACTTGAGCCATTACATAAGGCTTTTTTAAAAGTTATTTTTCATGTAGGGTCTTGTGGTTTTTGCCTGGCTTGCCTGGACTGAATTCCTCCTATTTATGTTTCCCATGTATCTGAGGTGACATGTTTATACCACTATACACAGCTTTTTTGTTGAGATGGGGTCTCATGAACTTTTTGCCCAGGATGGCCTCAAACTGCTACCCTTCATAGCTTTGCCTTTTGAATAGCTGGCATTACAGGCATGAGCCACTGAGCATGGTTTATTTTCTATTCTTATATCCACTTGCATGGATCCTTATCTAAAATTTGGTTTGGACAAGATTGATGATGTCACACATATGAATGATTATGAACATGAATAATGAAGTTTTGAGGGAATATAATATCCCCTGGGCAGGCTTCCCAACTAGACCAAAAGTGACTTGAGAGTGCAGAGAGAGCAACTGGCTTGTGGTTTGGGGGGCATGACTTGGATGAGATTCCTTCTAGGGTATACTTTTGCTAAAAATCCCCAGGGACAGAAATTAGCATTATGGCCACAGTTAACTGCAGGGAGGTTATAAAATGTGTCTTCATTCCAAGTCATCTTGTGCCCAGCTTACTTTGGGAGTTCTATTATTACATGAGAGGAAAATAAATATAAGGTGATAAATTCACTCTCTGATACAATTATCAAATAGAATTGGGTAGAATAACATCAATTATTTCAAGACATCTGTGTATGGTTTACTATTCTTACAATTCCTAGTTCAGTGTTCCAAATCTTGCTAATTTGTAACTTCCTTGTGAGTTTTGACATATTCCATAGCACACTACTTGGGTCAAGGAAGTGGTGCTTTGTAGGAAAGAAAAGGAAGCTACAATTTATTTTTGGCTATGTGCCAGGAACCTGATTAATCACTTTCAATGTATTTCTTCATCTGGAAGATGCAAGGGAGGTAAGACAGAGTTCTGTCAACCAAGGTTAACTATAGACAAAGGGTAAAGAAAATTGTTTTTATTTTATAATTGTTGATTTCCATATGTCTTTTCAATAAATACATGTGTAACATGTACTTATTGTTTCACTAAGAGAATGCTCAGCAAATATTCAGTGTTCAAAGGAGTATATGGGACTTAAGTACAGGTGGAACCTTGAAATAAATATAAGTACTAACATAATCTGTGGTCTTACAAAATAAAATTTTCCTTCAATGTTGTATAAAGTAATTGAGCTGCTTCATCTCTGAAATCAAAATAGCAGTAATTCTGCCCAACATGAAGTAATCAGTACATAGGTCAATGGTCAAGTGTGATCATAATTTGTCCCTTTTTCTAGAGTTCTGCCTAGAATTCTACAAATAAAAACTGCCTTGGCTAAGAAGACATCAGAAATTTCTCAAAGGCTAGTGGCTCATGTAGTAAGTATGGTTAAGTATGATTCCTCTGGTTCCCATTTCTAGTTAGACTATGTCTAGATGACTTTCTTCAGTCCATCATGCAGGACAATCACAAACGTTCCACCTTAACTCCTGACAATTTCTAGTTAGACTATGTCTAGATGACTTTCTTCAGTCCATCATGCAGGACAATCACAAACGTTCCACCTAACTCCTGACAATTTCTAGTTAGACTATGTCTAGATGACTTTCTTCAGTCCATCATGCAGGACAATCACAAACGTTCCACCTAACTCCTGACAATTTCTAGTTAGACTATGTCTAGATGACTTTCTTCAGTCCATCATGCAGGACAATCACAAACATTCCACCTAACTCCTGACAATTTTGGATCATGCACCTAGAAAAATGTTTTCCCATCCGCCTCTTTGCTATGATATGAATATGGTGTGTCCCCATTAAACCTCAACATGAGACAATGAAACAATGTTGAGAGGTGGTACTTAATTGGGTCATGGAGGATCTAGCCTCTTTAGTGCTTTTTTTTTTTAATGGAAATCGATTAGTTGTCATAGGAGTTCAGCCCCCCCTTTTCTCTCCATATGATATTATTTCATCTTTTTGCTTTTCCATTATTTATGGATCATCATATGGTCCTAACCAGAAGCTGAGCAGAATCTGGTGCCATGCTTTTGGACTGCCATTATTGGGGGCTAAATAAACCTCTATTCTTTTTGAGTGTTCTAATATGGCAACAGAAAACAGACTAAGGCAATCTTTAAAATCTTCTCTCATTGTTCAAGGATCCCAGTTTACATGATATCAACTCCCTTGTGCCACATTACCATATTAACCTCCGGCTCACAGTATCAGAGGGTAGCAGACCACGCTTGTCATGTCCATATTCATGTTGATGACTTTGTGGGAGATTATTCAGTCAACCTTAATTGGAGAGCAAGCCATTTGCTGTATCTTTTTTTTTTTTTTTGGTGGCACTAGGGTTTGAACTTGCTAAGCAGGCGCTCTACCATCTGAGCCACTCCACTAGCCCCATTTGCTGTAACCTATACTAATAATATCTTTATCTAGGCCTTAAATACTGCCAGATATGGTGTTTTTCACCAGTCTTCCAGGCCTATTTATTTGACAGTTTTTTCAACATCAGCTGCCTGATAGGCTCTAGGAAAATCTGATGGGTAGATGGAGAGAGAAGTGGTTACAGCTGCTACACCAGGGACCAGATTGCAAGATAATTCTGGAACGGTATGTGCTTGCCCATTCTTCCTAATAACAGTTGTTTATGCTCATCCCTCAAGGCAAAGTGAGAGGATTAATCAGGGAAATATCTGTTCTCATATGTCACAGTGTTCTTCCAGAAGAACATCCTTTGCTTCTTGAACATACTATGCAGTCCCCTATTCCTTTGAACAAGGAACCAGGAGCTTATCTGTTGCATCTGCCATAGTAGCTGAGCCCTCTTGACTCTTGGAGGTGATGTCGCAGTCAAAAAGCCCTTTGCAAAGTCAGATGACCTATTCAGTCATGGCAGCAGCGTGGGCTATAGGAGAAAGGGAAGCCGGAATGGAAACTTCAGGAGTAGCAGGGTTAGTATTTATTACTCAGCCCTGATGTGGCTTAGACAGAAAGACTAATGCCATGCCTAATTTTGTTTTTTGCATAACTCTCCTTTACCTCTCTTTTCTCTTTTCTTCCACATAGTAAATGCTCTTTTCAAGTGAAACACTTTTAAGTTGCCCACTTTGGAGATGAATTGTTTGAAGCAAAGAATAAATTATTAAGGCTATAATTTCAGGCCTCATGAAAGAGAACTGGTTGGATCAGAAGTATGTGGAAAATATGCCTAAAAGGACATGAAAAGTAGTGTTGGAGAAATTTTTTGTTTGAAGAAGAAATGAAAACAGAAAAGGCAGAAGATAGAAGCTGAGACACGTGAAATTTCTTTTCAATGAATCAGTGTTGTCATTAACTCATAAAAAAACCCCACTTCTTTAATGTATCCTGAAAGAATCAGGTCAATAGCATGTTTCACTGGGTGGCAGCATAATTCATCTGTGATATTCTTTCCATATTGTTTGTATGAAGGCTGCTCTCAGATGAAATATAAAATGCTTTAGAAACCCATTTTAGTTATGGGCAACATCATATATTTTTATATTCTTACTGACGGGACTGAGGATGAATGAAGGGTCAATTTTATCTTTTTGTATTAGAAAGGCACATAGACAATCACTCAATACAGGACTTAATAGTTATGAGAGTGAAAAAAGTCAAAGTTTCCAGCATAAGGCGTGGGAAACCTATTGGATTGGAAAATATGTTCCTTCACCTTGAAATAGGCCTCATCACTGCTTTTTATTACTTTACGGGGGGCATTCATCAGTAATAGCTTGAACACTAGGTAAAAGGGTATTTTTGGTTGTTGTTTTGACACAGTATCTCACTATGTAGTCCAGGCTGACATGGAAATTTCTGTGTATCCCAGGTTGGCCTCAAACTTGTGATCATGCTGCTCTAGTCTTCCAAGGGCTGGGATTACAGGTATGTACCACCATGCTCGGCTTAAATAAAGATTTTTCTGAAAGTTAGAAACTATGGCTGGAGGTGCAGCCCTGGAATCTGAGATTTTATCTACAAATGTTATTGTGCAAAATGCTCTGAGAACCTACTATGGACCCAAATGAAGAGCATCATTGAGTCTTAGAAATGCAGCTTGTTTAAGGAATTGCTTAAATATATCTGCCAGAATACGGGTCATATTATCTCTCCATTATGCAAAGTGTGATTATAAAAGGAATGGGGATGAAATCTCACTGAGTACAGAGTTGTTCCTAAGCGGACTTTTTGTTGTTGTGTGTTTGAGACAGGGCTTTTTTTTTTCAATACACTATAATGCTTTTTCTATTTTTTGTACTAGGAAATATGCATGTTAAAAATGTTTACCTTATTTTTATGAAGAAATTAAATGCTTTCTGAAAAGAATGAATTTGTTACTGTCCTGTAACAATGAATTTGAAGACAATTCTAATCCAATTGTACTCATTTAAGCATCTTTGCTCAGGGTGGAGGGTAAGTATGACGGAAATATTATGTAGTCATGTATGAAAATGGAAAAATGACACCTGTTGAAACTGTTCTAAGAAGGAAGAGGAGAATGACGGAGGGGTTGAATCTAATTTAGATACATTGTAAATACTTTTGTAAATGTACAACAATAATATGCTAATAAAAATTAAATTAAAAAACACCTTTGCTCAATAGCAACTTCTTTAGAAGTCTAATTTATATAATTCTGGTCTACATAACACTATTTTATTCCACTATATTATATAAAGAGCATTTTTGTATTAAACATGTTTCTCTTTGATATGATACAGAACAATTTTTCACACTTTCCAGCAACCCTCAAATATACTTAAAATGTGTTCTTTAAAAGTCCCACACAGTTTGGGGACCTGACTCAAGTGGTAGAGCCCTTGCCTAGCAAGTGCAAGTTCCTGGGTTCAGTCCCCAGTACTGAAAAAAAGAAAGGCATGCACATTCACATGTTCAGATCTTTATTGTTTGTACAGCTCTTTTGCACTACAAAATATTTTGAGTAGTTAATGCACAGTGAATATCTTTATCTGAAAATGCAGTCATGATTTACAATCTCATCAATATGATTGTTCCAAACAAAGTCATAAAGATATTGGGAAGTTTTGAGTGCTGCACTTTGAGACAGGATCATGCTATATAACTCAGAATGACCTTGAACTCATGATCTTTGCTTCCAGGGGAGTTGAGACAGAAGCCCCTTCATGTTGGGAATATCTGCTCAAGAGTATTTTGAACCAATTTGCTCTGATAGGTATCCAGAGGATTCTGGAAATCAAAAATACACAGTATGAGTCTGAAGTTGTCATCCTGACCTCAGGGCCTCTAGTAGAGAAATCTGAGGTAGAATTTCTAGCTGCTGAGTTAGGAATATAAAGAAATAATCCACTGTTAAGGAGAGGAAAAGCAAGGTGTATTATTCAGTGGGAGTATTATGTTGATATTCTCTTTCTCAGTTCGGTTTGTGCAGAAAGTAGGGGAAAGGTTATTACCGGAGAGTGAATTTGTGAGAAGAAGTTTAGAAAAGAAAGTGAAAAGAGTAAATGACTGAATGGACTAGGCAATGTCGTAGTAATATCACTTAAACTTCACTATTGGTTCAAGTTCCTGAATTTAAAGTAAGAGCAATTATAAGGTACAGGCAGAATGGGTGGAATGGATTTGCATGTGTGTTAGAAACAAGCGAGGAGTGGGATGAGGACTGTTAGCAAGGACAGCTCGGCAGAAAAATCCAAGAATTCTTAGGCCAAAAACCTTGTGGACAAGCGTTTCATACATCTCTCCTCATAACGCTAATCCCGCCCCTTCTCTCCTCAGTCCCCCCACAAAGTTTGCAGATATAAACTATGATTAAGGGAAAATAATATATAATATAATTTTTTAATATTTTTTCAAGAAAGAACCATTTGAAGAGTACTGCAGAATTACCACAAATTGTCACGAGGGGGTAGACTGAGATGGAGTCCTTCTAGTTCTTATAAACTCTTCCAAAAATATAGAAAGAGGAAGAGACATATTCTAGATCATTCTATGAGGCTAAGAAGTAAAATTATCTGTACCGCAGAAGATGTAGTTTTATACAGAGAAAATAACAAAGAATTCACATGAAGGCCAGCATTACCTTGATACCAAGATTAGCAAAAGATACCATGAGAAAACTACAGATTAATATTCCTTATTGGTATAAACACAAAATTCTCCAAGACAATACTACCAAACTAAATTCAGCAACATATAGAAAGGGTTATATATTATGGTCAAATAGATGTATCCCAGAAATTCAAGGTTTGTTTTACATGAACATCATCAATGTATGCATCATCTTAAAAGAATAAAAGACAAAAAGCACATAACCATCTCAATAAATACAGAGAAGGTTTTGATAAAATCCAACAACCTTTCATGACAATCAACAAATACACATAGAAAGGAACTTTCTATGTATGAGTGAAGGGGATCTATTAAAAAGCAATCCCACTCCTAGGGGTACACCCTAAGGAATGTGACACAGGTTACTTCAGAGGCACCTGCATACCCGTGTTTATTGCAGCACTATTTACAATAGCCAAGCTATGGAAACAGCCAAGATGCCCCACCACCGACGAATGGATTAAGAAAATGTGGTATTTATACATAATGGAATTTTACTCGGCCACAAAGAAGAATGAACCCTTGTCATTTGCAGGTAAATGGATGGAACTGGAGAACATCATCTTAAGTGAAGTTAGCCAGGCTCAAAAGGCCAAAAATCACGTTCTCCCTCATATGCAGATTATAGGCCCAAAACAAATGCAGTAATATTATTGGACATGGGTCACACACTAAGGGGAGAACACACAAGGGAGGGATAGGGAAAGGGATGAGAACTAAAAACTTGAGTGTGGTTGATGTGCTCACTGTATAAGAATGAATACAGTAATCTTAAACCGGCTGAGGCCACTAATGGGAAGGGGACTAGGGAGTAGTGAAGAGGACTGGTAGAGATGAACCAATTGGGTTATAATACACACATGCATGGAAACAACACAAAGAATCTCCTTGTATAGCTATCCTTATCTCAAACTAGTGAAAACACCATGTTTTTCTTATTATCATTTTCTTTTTTTTCTTCTTCAAAATTGGAGAACAAGAGAATGGAACGGGTTTTGCCCAGAGGCAGGGGTTGGATGTGGGAAGGGGGAGGTGGCCCAAATAATGTACACATATGTAAGTAAGTGTAAAAATGATAAAGTAAAATAAAATAAATGAAGTTTCTGATAAATTTGGAAAAAAAAAAAAGCCATGGTGCTGGTAGAGTGGCTCAAGTGGTAGAGTACCTGCCTAGCAAGCATGAGGCCCTGAGTTCAAACTCCAGTACCTCACACATACACACAAAAAGAAAAGGCTGGGCACCTGTGGCTCATGCCTGTAACCCTAACTACTCAGAAGGCAGAGATTAGGAGGAGTGTTGTTCAAAGCCAGCCCAGGCAAATAGTTCATGTGACCCTATCTTGAAAATACCCAATACAGAAAAGGGCTGGCAGAGTGGCTCAAGTGGTAGAGTGCCTACCTAGCAAGCTTGAGGCTCTAAGTTCAAACTCCAGTGCAGCCAAAAAAAAAAAAAATCCATATCCCCAGTCTACTTTGTTCTGGTTATTTTGGAGATGGAG